GAGAAATAGAAACAATTATAGTAGAAATTTATGATGAAGGATGTAGTTGGGAAAATGATGATTTACTCATGGAAAATTCATGAGAAAAAAGAAGCAAGAAATGTATAAAATTTATATATTTGATCTAAAAACATTGACTTCTATAAAAATGACTAAAGGAATTTCAAAAGTACCAGAAAATGATGAGAAAAATGTAATGATCCCAGTACTAGATAGTAAGAAATAAAAAAATTTATAAGAGTCAAGGGCATAGTTTTATACACTTAGGAATGATAAAAATACGAATATGTCCTCTATTAGAAAATGATTAAATGTGTTAATCTCAGTGTGTGTGGTAGATTATAGACATTTTAGTTTTCAAGATGCATTAATTGGAGGAATACAAGCTCTGTTACGTAATGGACCTGTTCATTTTGAAATGTTTTCAAATTTCATGGTAGCTTTAGAAGATAAAAATCTCAAAGAGACATTAATGATGAAGGTACAAACGAATGGATAAAAAATTAAATAAGATAGCTATAATGTTTCAGTACACTGTAGAGCCGGCTATAAATTAATAAAAACAACGATAAATTCTAAAACTATTAATAGTAGAAGAAAATGAGAGACCTTTTTCATATAAAATGATACTTTACACTGACATAAAATTATTCGTAAAACTATTCAATGGAAATATCTACCCTGGATAATGATGTAACGTATAATGGATTTTCAGTTAGATTTTTTTAAATAAAAAAAAAGAAAAGAAAAAAGAAAAAAGAAGCCCCTAATATGTCAAAAAATGAATTTTATGGTTGCTTTATTTTACCTCACTGATTTTTTAGATTTTCGGTAAATTTTGAGGTGCCATAGCAAATTGAGCATGACATATTATTGAATAACAAAATTAAAAATTAAATTACATATATAAATGAAAATATAAAACACAAACCGTTGATTTTCGGTAAGATTTAAAACAAAAAAAAATCCCAGTATGTCAGAAAAATAATTTCATGGTTTGGTTATTTTTTCTAACATTTTTTAGTGATTTCCGGTCGCTTTTAATGTGATATTACATATTGTATAGATCCAAAATTATCTCCTTTCAATTGCAATCTAAAATAGAAGAACGCAACTTCCCATTTAAAGAAACTCTTAACTTCAAATCCTAGCATTCAAGTTTCTTACAATTGTAAAACCTGGAGAAAAGAAAAGAAAAAAAAAAAAAACCTTATCTAAAAATTGGATTCTTGGCAGAGTCACGCTTTCATAGCCGGAAATCCTCACGTAGATGCTTGGTCCAGTTGACCGTTTAGAGAGACCAAGAGAGAGAGAGGAAGAGAAAGAGCAAGATAAAACAAAAATAAAATAAAACCTTGTAGGGGTTTTGCTCTTTTCGCAGGGTAGTTGGAAGATGCTAACCTCATACCGTATGGGCACTGCCCTAAATATTGGGGCATTACCCTATTTCAAAAAACTTTTTTAAAAACAAAAAGTGGTCAAAGGATGGCATCATCAGATCGAGGGTAATTTTTTTATTAACAAAGAAAACACGGGTAGACGGGACCTTCCACGTAAATTTTGCCTAACATTGCCTCAATTTGTATTTTAGGTAAATATTTTGGGTATGTACATAAATTACTTTTTTTCTCTTTACAATTTTCCCTAAAATGTCCCCAACTAGCAATTGATATATTTATCGTTGGTTTCAAACTAGTTTTGAACCGATGTTTTTAGTGGTTTTGAACCAATGGGTCACGTTTAGTATTGGGATTGTCCATGAAGATACTATTTATCTTTTATATATGGAAGTCACGATTATTCTCACTTATTATATGTCAAATTGGATGGCTTGGGGTAAGTCACAAAGTCCAATAATTGTTTTTTTATAATTTTATGTATATGCAATGACTTTTACAACCACCCGTTTTGAAATTTAAGGGGCAAAAATGATTACAACCTTCATGTATAAAAGATAAACGCTTTCTTTCAAAACAATTCCTTTAGTATAGTGGTTTTGAAGTAATGATAAAGATGTTGATCCAGATCTTCTAGTTTCATAAGTGATGTTTTGTACATGAAACCATATTTTGGGCGTAGTGGTGATAAATTCCAAATATATAGCATTTTGGGCAAAAAGAAAAAGGAGGAAAAGGAGTATATATGTAAAATAAAAAATGTTGATGACATTCTTTTTATTTGCTAATCATAGGAGATATTATCATAAACTTACAAATATTAAATGCGCCATAAAGCATGTCGTGCATTTTCTCCATCAGAAAAAACTCATTTAGGACTGCTTTTTTTGGATCATGAGATCACCATGTATCCTAGAATAAATAGGGATGCTGTAGGATACACCGGCCTAATGGTAGTCACACACATACTTGTACATATGATTTGTGACGGAAAATCTAATTTTATGGGATTGAATGCATGAAGATTGGTCAATTTTGGATATATATCTTAGCATTTAAAAACTCAAAACATATTTATTTTCTCTAAGGATGTTATTTATAGAAGGGACAAGTTTATATAAGGTTGCAACCTTAAAATGTACAACTACGGATGCACTTCAAAAATCCACCAAAAAAGGTTGTTTTAATATTGAAAAAACCCTCTAATTGATCATCTCGACATCGAGATGTATGACTAAAAAAAAAACAAAGATTTTGAATCCTAAAAATGGTGCATCTTACAACATATTATCTAGACCGTCCATTTTAAAGATTTTCATATGTTTATAGATCTACTTGATTTTAAACATTTGTTGAGTTAAAGGTTTTATAATTAGTTTATAAAACTAGATTTTGAGATAATATTAATAATATTTTAATCAAAATTATATGTTATGATAAAATTTAAAAGAATGCCTTAATTAAATTGTTTAAAGTTGCAACCGTATGGAAACTACACCCTTTATAGAATGTGTCATCCTCAGATAATCAAAGTACCACGCACCTCCAAATCATGCTAGAAGAGGCAGTTCCAGTATTAGGATCCTTACAATGGTATGAAAGTCTAATTCCAACCCTAATCATAAAATGGAAAGCTCAAAAAAATAATGAAGTTGAAGTATAAACACTTAGAAAATATTGAAAACAAGTAGTATCTATGATGTTACAAAATGTACCATTTTAAAAACTTTAAAATCTATTTTTATTACGTCAATGCATACTCAAGGAAGTTGAGATAATCAATTAGAAGGTCTTTCAACATCAAAACAAAAGTAGATTAACGATGTGCACTACTTCTTATGATATAATAAATGAGATTTATGCCTTACATAAAAATACCCATAAGATAAACTTTTAACATTCTACGCATGTGTTTTTGCATAATTTCCAAACACTCATTAAAAAATACATGATTATGGGTTGGAATAATTGCAAATCGATAAAAATATTAAATAATTTATTTATTGAGGGATTTTGATAAGTTTCCATTTTTTTCCTTATTTAGAATACTCATTTGCTGTTAGAAAGCAGTATACATAGCGTGCTTCCGCAGGAGAATATACTATACAGCAACTCCCTTCTACAAAATTGCTAATTGGAAGAATTTATTTATTCAAAAAATTGGGATCCATTTAGTATCAATAAATGATTGTTTTAAAATAAAATAAATTTGGATTTTAAGTTCTTGAACATTTAGTTATTTCTTTCCAATAATTGGATGATTCCCTATATAATTGTGGGACGTCGTTTTTTAGGCTATAGGTTAGGTTTTTTTTCTTTGAAGTTGATCATTGGGTTTTAGAGATTACATCGCCAAATTTTGAAATAAAAAAAAGATAATCCTAAGATGAGTTTTGGAATAAAGAAGTTGCTCAATACGAAACGTTGATACACGTATCGTGTTGACACTTGGTAGACACAGACATGTATGTCGCCCTTCTAACAATGCGTACAACTCTCCCATACAGTGTCTAATAGCGTATCCCTTTTTTAACACATTTTGTTTTTCGAATGTGGCTTTTCTTTGCTTAGAATAACTACTATTCAATAAATGCTATTTTAGTTTACAAATAAAAATATAGTAGAACTAAAAAATAGTTTGGAATGAAATTAAAAACTATCATAATTTCTTACATGGGGTTTATAAATAAAAACATGCTTTTATTTCAAGTATAAATAAACATTATAAGTTTTTTTCTACTTAAATTTGTTATTATAGTATTTTATATCATGCTACTTGCATTGCCATGCACTTGAGTTTTCCAAGTTTTGGATGCTTGTACTTGTCTTCGATAGTTTTTAAAATTTATAGTACTTTTGCCTACAAAGTGCAGTATGGCCCCTTTTCCAAAATTTTAACATTCATTTTTTTAATAACTGTATTTGTTCGTAGCAATATGAGCTTGCTCACGAGGAGGCAGTCGTATATAGATCCAATCCATACTAATATTGGAATATGGCATCAATGAAGACAACTCAAATGGTCCTACTGAAATTAATATTGAGAAAAGGATGTTTGATGAATAAATATTAGAAAAAAATGGATCTATTGAGGGTGATTGTGATGTGATAATAAGATGTTGAATATTAATAGCTATGCAAAAAGGGTTGTACATTTTGAATTAATAATTAACTAACAATTTTTAACTTTTTTCTATGTTGTTATGATGCAATTTTGGTTTGAACTATAAGAAAATATTGACGAATAAACTTTTCATTAATAAAGTAACATATTTAGGAATTTCAATTTAATTTAATTATTATTTTTTGAGTTTTATTATTATGAAATAATATGTATATGTAAATGAGGATGTAAACTACAAATAAATTTCAATATATGACTTTTTTTTTTGGTAGATCAGTGGGAAATATAGGCTCCTACCTGTTTTAGAAATCGTTAGTGCTTTTCAAAAGCGCCAATGAAAATAACTTTGACCGATACCTAAAGCTAAGGTAGTGCTACCACTACGACCTCGTTCTCAATTTCAATATATGATTTATTGATGTATATATATATATATATATATATGCACGCCTGTACTTTGTTGAGTTAAGTGTATCAGACGGTCGCACTGTGTCGCAAAAAGCCATCCAATTCTACGTTAAGGGGGTTGTTTCCGATTCAAGAGGGAATCTCGCGAGTAATGTACGGAGTGATCCAGCGGGATTAAACTATACGTCCAAGAAACTGCAACCTAAGCAAGAATTACAGCAGGAGCACTGCCCTCCACTGATATAAGTGCGCGCGTTTAGAGAGAGAGAGAGAGAGTTGTAAGCGATACCTTGGCTGTAACTGTTGCAAATATGGTCGCATGATCAATGCTCCTATGTATTTAAAATTGTTTCAGTTTCTCTGGCAAACAATCCACCAGTGGTAACCTAGGGTTTAGGGTTTTTGCGGTGGAGCGAAATAAAAAGGAATGCTATACATTATTGGGCTTGGACTGGGGGACGAGAAGGATATTACTTTGAAGGGCCTTGAAGCTGTGAAAAAATGTGAGAGAGTATATATTGAGGCCTACACTTCCTTGCTTTCCTTTGGCCTCTCCTCTAATGGCCTTTCAACATTGGTATCTTTCTTATATTTCTTTGTTTCTCTCTTTGGTACTAGATGCCCATGTTCATGCTCTTTCTTTTTCTTTTTGCCCCTTTTCTTCTGGTGAAGTCATGGTTAATCACTCAGTTTTCTCTTGTAAATTGAAATTCACCATTAAAGATTCATAATTTATGCAATGGCATGACAATTCATCACACCAATGAATTTTTCAAATGTGTCTATATGATAAGTATGAGCTTCAATTTTTTGGTATAATCTGTTTGATATTTTCAGCTCTTACTAGTTGACACTATCAATTTTTTTTCTTTTTGGTGAAATTACAATGTTGGTTATTGTATATATTTTGGTTCCAATTAACATGGGCATTGGTTCTGATTTTATTTGGCTTTTAGGAGGAATTGTATGGGAAGCCACTTATTGTTGCAGACAGAGAGATGGTGGAGGAAAGGGTAGATGATATGCTTTACGAAGCTCGTGAATTTGATGTAGCTTTCCTAGTGGTTGGGGATCCCTTTGGGTGCGTTATTAAGCTTAAAGCTTATTCTTTGGAATAATTTTTTTTACTGGTGTGAATGTTTTGTGTCTCACGAGGCTGGATTTGGAGAAGTACTTCTTTCTATGGTTCATGTCAAATTTAAATATGAGACCATTTACCTTTGGTACCAGGTGCTCGTAATTGATCTTGACCATTGGATGTAAAATTGGTTGGCTGCATTTATTTCATTGACTAAGCTCAAAGTTCAAAAGAAATTCTCTCGAACTTTGTGACACACCCAAGCTATCAGATTTCACATCAAATGGTTGTAAGTAATTATGACCTTCCTATTTCTTTGAGACATGAAATTAAGTATAAAAGGATTCAAGTCCAAGTATTTTCACTATTGGTCACGTGAAAGCTTTATGCAATAGAAATTGCAGATTATGATCTACCTCAATAAATAAAATTGCAGACTTTGAATTTTAACTAACATTTAGGACATTGAAAATTACAGACTAGAGCATATTAATGTACCTAATATAACCCACCTTCTATTTTGTTAAATTTTATGGGTTTTGCTTTTTTTGAGACAAAGAGAGAAATGGAAAGATGCCTAACTGTCTTGTAGAGATGGAAAGATGCCTAAATTTTGTCGGAAGATGTAGTTTTCGTGTCGAAGACCTTACATTAGCTTGAATATCCATGTTCAACTGTAATTATAAAATTTGAAATTCCAAAAATGGTGCAGATTGAGCACTTGAAAATAGACGGTCCGGATAACTTATTACAAGATGCACTATTTTTAGGAGTTAACATTTTTTTTTTCTTCATATCCATATATCTCAAGGTCAAGATGATCACTCGGAAGGTTTCCAACTTCGGAACACTCTTTCTACTGGATTTTTGAGGTAGACCTTGCTTCTATAGTATAAGGTTGCAACATTATAAAAACTTATCCTAAAGCAAACCAAATGATATCATTTATTTATTTTTCAATGATCTTGTACGACTTTCTTAATACTCTTTTTTGATTTGTGTATGTGGGTCTGAACAAGAGTGCTTGAATCTGTCCCATTATTTTCTCTTTTTTTTATTTATTCTGAGTTACCGTTTTTTTTTTGGGGAGTTATTTCTAGGCTTTGCTTTTGCCAACAACCTATATGACTCGGTCGGTTGTGGCTAGCATCATGTCAGATTAGTTGTCTATATATGCAGTTTGACTTATCTTAATGCTTATAAGGTATGGTAAGTGCTACTCCTGAATTGATGTTATTATAATAGTAGTCAGAATAGATTTATGTATATATGAGAAAACCACCGATTATCTAAATCTCGATGTGCTTTGTGTGGACACGAACACCATCTTCATGGGCAAGGGGATGCCTCTTCCACTGTTACATCTCATAATGTAGAAATGCTAAAATTGATCATTGAAAACTCTTGGAAGTTAAGCAAACCAAGTAAAATCAGCCATTGTATTCAGAAGAAATAAAAAAATTAATAGAGACAAAGCTGAGCTGTAAGTCTTGCCATTGGTCAATAGTGAGCTTTGACACTTGAGTGGATGAATGGATCCTTGCATTGCTTTATTACTGCACCTGGAGATTAGATTGGATCCCATTAAAATGCAACAAACCATAACAGAAGATTGGCTTGGAGAAGTGGCTGTGGATTCTGCATCAATGGACCCCTTGAAGCCCCTCTCTAGGATTAGGATCTGCACTTGTTTTATTTTTTTGGATAGACAGCACACTTGTTTTTTCTTGATGTGGAGTGTTAATTAATGATGGAGATTATGCATTTGTGCTCTTTCACAGATTGGTCTTCTTATTTTTTTCAGGGAATATTCTGTGGTCTTTGAATTATATATACATGATCCAGGGGGCATAGCCTTGGATCTTACCAAAAATAGTTAGCAAAATTCTCCACTTGGAGCATGAAGAAATCCAAGACCAACCTGAGTGTTTTTTGATGATTTGATTTTTCCATTTCTACCATGTTTTAGTTTTTAAAATGAATAAATATTTTTACATTTAAAAGAAAAATTCTATTATGGTGCAGTAACAAAGACTTCCTTGTTCCATTTGACAATAACATTCGACATTGTCTTACGAAGACTGGTTGTTACATTGCTTTAATTAACAATTTTTTTTTTTTTTTTCTGTTTTTATTACTTGTCAGAGCAACTACACATACTGATCTGGTTGTCCGGGCCAAAAAATTGGGGGTGGAAGTCAAGGTGATACACAATGCCTCTGTAGTCAATGCAATTGGGGTTTGTGGATTGCAACTTTATCGCTATGGAGAAATTGTCTCCGTACCATTCTTCACCGAGACATGGAGACCAGACAGTTTTTATGAGAAAATATGTTCAAATCGTCTTCATGGGTTGCATACTCTTTGCTTACTAGGTGAGCTTTTCTCTAACAAAGAGGATACTTTTTGCTAGATTGGGCAGTACTTTTTGTTTGGAAGTATCTAAGCAGGAGATGTGGGCTTGTCATATATCTTCTTTCTCCATCACGACCAAACCCATCATCAAATTGAAGGACTATTTGTTTGTGCCTAATATTTCCTCTTTAACTTATTGATTGCAATTTACTTATGAAACAAAATAAAATAACTCTCACTGAATATTTCCTTAACCCTGCAGATATACGTGTCAAGGAACCATCAATAGAATCATTGTGCCGGTATGTGTCCTAAACAATTATCCTGTTTCCTGAATATGGCTTATAGCCTTTTCTTTTTGAAGGATATTACACTTTTAGCTGTCATTATGTTTTTTATCATATATTTGGATCTTTATAAATTGCATCTTGTGGGGCCAGGCCTGTTCAAAGTATTGCTCAATGTGGATGTGCCATTCTTATTGTCAGTTTTTTTGAACTGGATTATGAACACTTGATTTTGCATACTAGTATGATGATATGAAGTGGAGACATGAAAAATAATAGAGCGTATCCCATCCCTTTGCACTTAACTTCAATAATCAATACCTCTCATCCTTTCCCATCCTTGTTCCAGCCTTTTCTCTTTCCACACTCCTCATCTTCCTTTGTCTCCTATCATATTCGTCCAGTGCTCCACCCTCATCGCTGTTTCTCTCTAATTGTCCCTGATCTTCCTTAGCATACTCCATCCCTACTTGTCCTTTGTCTGTATCACGGCTATCACCATCATTTTTCTCTCTTTACTCTTCCCCGTCATCTTAACATGCTAAATTCAGCCATGTATTCCATCCTCATCTGCCATCTCTGTCTTTTGTCTACTGTTCCTTAGCCTACCATATTCCTACCTTTGCCATCCTCCCCCCCCTCTCTCTCTTTCATTCTCTCACTCTCTCTTTGTGCATGTGTTGACAAGTATGTTTTCGTGTCGGTGGCATATCAGTTTTCTTTGCTGATATTTTCTCTTTTCTCGCATACTTTTAGGGTTGAGTTACTTAGCAGTTTCCTTCGATTGACTAACTAAAAAGTGCATCGTCTTTTTTTGAACTTCTTAGCAGTTTCCTTCAATTGACCAACTAAAAAGTGCATCATCTTTTTTCAAACTTTGTTTGTGATAAATAACTCTTTGGGTTGATGATGTAGCTTATACGGTTTGATATGATGCATAAAGACCAAAACTTTTCATGGATGTCCGGTTTAGAATCTAGATATAAAAAATGGCTATCGTATAGGTTAGGCTGTACAAATTGATGACTTAAAAGGGTTAGATGATAGAGGCTGTGTGACTAGGTTGGTTGATCAAGTCACCTCTTCACTGGATAGGTGATCAGAGATTGGGTTGCTTCTCACCAAGTGTATTTGAAAGCTGAGAGGTCATATCACAATTGGAGGAATTGCTAAAAGAGGTTGATTACCTTCCATTGTCAAGGGCTGGACTTGTTGGCCCAGGAGATGATGTTTTGGGAATGACACTCTATGATAATTATTGAGCCCCAAATTTGTGGAATGACTGCATGCAGACCAGCAAGTCTTTGGATTCAGCAGAGGGGACATCTTTTGTCAAGAAATACCAAAAAAAGCGCCCTTTTGATATCTTGGGTCGATAATCTATAAAAATGGAGAGATTGAGAAAAATGTCATACACAAAATTAGAGCTGGGTAGGCGAAGTGGAGATGTGCTACTGAAGTTTTATGTGATTGCCACATATCAATGAAGCTGAAGGGGAAGTTCTATAGGACATCTATGAGACCAGCTTTGCTTTATGGGCAGAATGTTAGGCAGTCAAGAAACAACATAACCATAGGATCAGTGTAGCTGGGATGAGGATGTTTAGATGGATGAATGGCCAGACAAGAAGGGATAGAATTTGAAATGAATACATTTGGGAGAACTTAGGTGTGGCTTCAATAGGCAATAAGATGAGAGAATGCAGACTTAAGTGGGTTGGACATGTGCAACACCGACCCAGTACAACACTTATTAGGAGGTGCCAGTTGGTTCAAGTAGAAGGCTATATAAAGGGCAAGGGTAGGCCCAAAAGGATATGTTTGGAAGTAGTGAGAAAATATATAGGGATTTATGGCCTCATTGAGGGTATAACCCTTGATAGAGCAAAATGGCTGACCCAAATTTGTTTAGCCGACCCCAAATAGTTGGAAAATGCTCTGCTAATGATGATGGTGATGATGATGAAATGGGATATCTTTTGTGCTTGCGGGTCTGGAGTGGGTAAGTAAGATCCCACTAGTATGGGTTTTGGAGATGATCTAAGCCATATTTGACTGTGTTCCCAATGGTGCTACCATTGAAATTTAGTTTCATGGTGCCTTGTTTTGGTGGCAGCCGCAATCTTGTGGTTGTATATAGGGTGGATCAAATGAGTCATGAAGTGATGTTTATTGCCACTGAGTCATGAAGTGATGTTTATTGGCGTTTGAATTCTTTTTGTGAAAGTGCCTAGATGATGATTGTTGTTCTAATTCGGTCAATAAGGTTGGTGATTTGGGTATGCAAAGTTTCAAAGTTTTGGCGAGTGTGTTCTAGCCAGATAGACCAAGTATGAGACCCAAGGTGGAACGGGCAAAGGAGAAATGGAGTTCGAAAAGACATTCCACATATTATGTAGTGACTGAGGATTAGTCGAACAATTGGACGAAGAAAAACCAGTCTTTAGAGGCGAGGTTGCAATGGATGAAGAGGGAGGGATGGAATCCTCTTTAGTGCTGCACATGATACATCTTTTGACCAGTTTAAGCCCTCTCCTGATGAGTTGATTGATCGCCAAGGTTGTGTTTGATATGGCAAGTGATTTGAGGGTAGCAGGTCCCAACTCTGCCTTGGCCGGCCCCTGCCAGTTTCAAATCCAGGTAAAGGAGGAGGGTTGTGTTAGGAAGGCAGCCAGTGTAAACCTTTGCTGTAACTTTCCATGAATCCTGAGGGGAGCACCTGACTAATGATTTGATCTAGATCAGTAGAAGTTGGTACACCGATAAAGTACATTTCAGGTTGGGCTCCAAGTGATCTTGTTTAAGCCTTATCTCGAGATGAGGCATGATTAAAGCAACTGATTATGGGCAAGACGTCTGCAATCTCATTGTTATTTAGGTCATGGAAAAAATTGGGATTCCATACTAGTTGGCCACTTACGTGTTTGACATATGGCTCAATGGTGGCACCTTGTCCAGCACTTGATTGTATAGTGTCGGGAAAGAAAGTTCGAGGGGTTGGTGTCCCACTAAGGAGTCCCTCTAAAATCTGATGTCGTCTCCTGATTTAGTTAGGCATCGAACTTGATTGTAGTTCTTTATGGACATAATGGCCTTCCAAACCCCATGGGCCCCGCATTGTTAATGGTCCTTTAGGCAACCAATTGAGACATCCGTTCCATGCCAATGGCTAATAACCGACTGCCATATGTGGTCATTGTGGTTGACAAAGAGTCAACACCACTTTCCGAGAACAGCAGTGTTACAATCTTGTAGTTTCCTAATTCTTGGATCCCCCTAACCAGTGTTTAAGAAGGCGGCTTGCCTCGGTACCTAGATGGCGCCTTTGAGGCGAGCCAAGGCCCTAGGCCTAGGGGGGTGCCTAGGGCTGGGGGCTTCGCAAGCGCCCAGCTAGTTGGCCAAGCCACCGTGTAGGTAGGCGCCTAGCGCCTTGGTTGGCCTTGGGCCAAGGCACTTAACCCAAACCCCTCCAACACCCTTGATCACCCCTCAAGGTGCCTTTATCATGACGCATCTGCCTAGGTAGTCAGGACCCTTGGCCGCCTTTTCTTTCTTCAGCCCTTGAAAACATTGCCCTAACCTATTTGGCTTACAAATTTTATCCCTCTTCACTAAGCAAATTTATTGGATTCACTGCGCTACTCTAGAGGAAGTTCCACATCAGTGCTTCCAACTCGTGGATAACATTCACCGACATTCAAGAGGGGAGCATTTGGAATACAGGCATGTTCGATAAAGTTGCCTTGATCAGGGTCGTTCGACCACTCAGTGAGAGAAAATGACATTCCATGATGACAAGGTACTCTTGAAGTTTTCCACAATACAATCATATTCGGAGTTCTTTGGTTTATCAATGCACAAAGGCAGACCCATGTGAGTATATGCCGCAGCTTGCCCTCTGCCCCAAAGCTTGGACACTGTTGAGGCTAGGCCAACTCCAAGAAGTCTGGTTTTGGCCATTTTCACTTAAGACTGGTCTCCAATTTGAAGCATCTCTTGAACAGCTGTAGGATGTTGATGTGATGAGGGTTTACATTGCAAATAGAAGAGTGTCATCCGTGGATTGGAGATGGGAATGGCTGGTCCATTGCATGAGCTGGAAAACCCTTGAGCAAACCATGGTTGTAGAGGTTGTTGATGGACCTACTGAAGATGTCTGCCATAATGGCGAACAAGAGGGGCCATGATTGTAGAGGTTGTCAAATGTCTGTCATAATGCGAACAAGAAGGGGGAAGTGGATCTCTCTGTCGTGACCCACATGAAGCTAGAAAGGAACTTTGTGGGGTTCCATTGATGAGGACTAAATGTTAACAGAGGATAAGCACCCAGACATTCAGGTCACAGGTGTGTTCCATATCCAATTTGCAGATGATAACGCAGAATTTTGGGTTGGAATCTCTTGTCAATGCATTCATTTGCAATGAGCACTACGAAGGTGCCTTGAGGAGGAGAGATGACTTGGCTCAGAGCCTGACATCGGCTGGATGCTGATACACTCACTAGAAATTTTATAGGAAATATTATTTCAATCTAAATTTCTAGATCTCGTTAGCTTCTTCTAGCTTGGGGATTAGAGCAATGAAAGTGGTGTTCATTCCCTTGTTTTTGATGCCCCCTTGAGGAATTCTGCGAGCCATACCACGATGCTGAGCCGGAGGCATCCTAGAATTGGTGAAGAGAATGGCATGGCCGCAGTCTGGCATAGGTGTCTTATGGTGGTCTAACTCGAGAATGGCTTTGAGCACCTCATGTTTGGTTAGGGGCCTTTCTAACGGAGGAATTGTTTCTAGAATGTCCTCTTTAGAGAAATGGCCCTTGGACAAAGTGGTGATGACTCGACAGGTGTCTTTGTTGTCCTCATATATTCACTAGTCATATTTTTTTTTTGAAAATGTTAACTGTATTAGGAAGGGTATATAATGAGTGCAAAAAATAACCACCCACAGTCCAGGTGTTCGTGTATTAAAAACCCTTACGGGGCTCAAAGAATGCTATGCAAGCTATACAATCATAG